GCGCGAATCACGCGCACGGCAATTGCACCGGGGCCATGTTGTTTGGGACTAATGCACGGTTTTGAATCAACTAGCTAGAGAAGATTCTTTGGTTTCTGAACGTTGCCGCTAAGTGGAACGTTCCACCCCTTGACCCATTACTCTAGCGTGGGGAGAGAGTAGTACACCACTGCTGAAGGTGTTGTGGTCGAACCGACTCCGCCCATAAAACCACTGTGGAATATGCCTCTTAAGCAAATTGAACCACGGTTTCTAGCTAGCCAAATGATAGGGGAATGAATTTTCAAAGTAGCTATGTTGACCAACTGTTTCAACGTTATAATTTCAGAAATTTCTTGATAATATTGACATATCCGCTCAATTTTGCCATCTACTTCGGAATGAGTTCGTCATTCAAACTACAGGTAGGATATTCCTCTGCATTGCTATTTTTCCAATTAAATAGACATTTATTAGGGGAATGCTGGTTATGGGTGAAAAAAGAGTACCCCCACAAAGACGTGAAGTCCACAAAGCGCATCTGAAGCTCATTGATTAGAACTGCATGATATCAAGTCAACTAGCGAGGAAGTTATAACTGATTAGTGCGCGTTGCCGCGGCAATAGCTTGTAACAGTAATCCACTAACTAGGTAACTAAATAGCGACAGTATCTTCGTGTTCGCATGGACCCATTGACTGTGTGCGCATTACTACTTTGACCAATCATGAGCTGTTTGGAAGCGCAGTAACTAACGATCGTATGAGCGGAAATAGTGAACTATTGCGCCCTTCTCATTGGTGCGCCCCCACATCCGAGGCTGTAAGAAGCGGGGGCACCGGTTCTTCTTTTTGAAATCCCTTCATGAATGATGAGTGAACCATTCCTTCACTTTGCCAGGCTTTAACACGCTTTTTCATTATTCTGAGAAATCGTATCGATCGATATTTTCAGTTCCGACAACTGTTCTCACGACAAGTTCTTTATGTTGCCTCTCCTGCCGACGGAGCTGGATGGCGCCCGCGATTTTCAGTTCAACTAATCGATATTCACAATTTACGAAGGCCAAGCCGACTTACACGAAAAGTGACTAAGGTGCTAATCGTTGTCATATCAGAACGGTTTAAAAAATATTAGGTTGTCCCTAAAGCTCGTGACCATTTTTGAACATTTTTTTGAATTAGTTTATTCCAAAGCCAATTCATGATCAACAGGTATATGTTACCTTTAATCGGCAACTTGTTGCCTAGCCACCAGGTTAAAGAATGGCTGCCTTGCCTTCCAGCTTTTTAGTCCGCTGCCGAGAAAGCGAAGTTGGGTCATTTTTGCGCTACTTTCCAAAAGTTGTATTTTTTTTTTAGTCAGCAAGCCTCTGAGGAATTAGATGGGGATTCGCCGAAAGAGCTAAGTCAGGCTACACGAACACCGTGGTGGAAATCCGAAGCTCAGCTTCAGGATCTCGAACAGTGTCATTTTCGAAACGTGTGACCCCAGGCTGTGGTAGAGTAGGCCAAAACATTGCCTGCAGTTGTTGGCATCCGAACGGTGCGGCGATTTCACCCCCCCTGCTCAGTTTGAGTTTGAAAAGGGTTGCTTCTGGTTATCACTCGCTTGAGAAAGATAGAAGTCTTTCCTTCAAGAAAGAGAGAATAGAAACCTCACCACATTTTACACAGTCTTACCGTCCTCCTACTGGATGCATAGGATTGCGCGACCGGTTCTGCCCTTTCTGGGGGATCTAGCTGCTGGCGCTTCCGGGACTGATTCACCTAGAGACATCTCCTCCATATCCAGTTGCCTCGTTCATCCAGTCCGTATGGCGGAGGGGGAGAAAAGTTGTAGACAGTACACGCGATGAGCTCCTCCTCGCAAGTATCGCGTCAACTTCACGAGAAAAAATTTTGACCGAACTTCAAAACATTTTTGAGGGGTCGAGGCCCTCTTCAATTTGTGCTTTTGAAAGAGTCAAGTGCAAGGACTAGATAGCTAGTTGACTTGTACGAACTGGTTTTAATCAAGGAACACAGCACCACGTTTCAAATTCTAGGCAGGTGGCCTCCCTGGACAAAGTTTTTCTCCCAGGTAGAAGTCACTTAAGTCGAAAGCGATCGGGCCATTTCAACGCCGTACTATGGAAGGTACCATCAGGGGGGGGGAAACCTTAACTCAGAGAAATGCCGCTTGTGACTCCAACCACGTTGTGGCTTGGTGGAGATTCATGTAGCGAAGTAACTTAGAAACACTTTTCATAGACCACATAACCGGATCTCGAAATGGCACGGAAACATCTGATACGAGATTTTGAAGATTATCACGAACTTTCAGGACAACCTAATACTGAGCGCTTTTGTTTGGAAGGTCTTATATTGAGGATCGTTACTGGGGGTAAGAAATGTGGATAGGGGTGGGTGTAGTAAACGCAACATTTCTGAATGAGGAGTTTTTGTCTCCACTAGTTTCTGCAGACAAAACCATGCTCTGCCAAAAAATGGTGCCGGCTTTGCGCTCAGATTGACAGGCCGCCCTTGATTAACATCTTAAACCACATAAGCACTGGTCTGAAAGTCGCAATGAACTGCGCATGTGTAGTGCTAGGCAGGTTCCTCGAAAAGAAAGGCAACCGTAACGTGACCCTCGCTGGAGCGCTATGGTTCAGTTATTGCGAAGGGTCTACAAGGGAGCTTACTTCGCACCAATGAGCTTAGTCTGAGTTAGGACTCTAAGCGTGGGGAACGGAGGGGAAGGGTTAGCTTACTGGTAAGTCTCGCTCACCTGATGCTACGCAAGAACATCCAAGTCCTGTGCCTTCAGGAGATGCGCTGGAAGGGAGCCAAGGCCCGCGAGATTGGAGAAGGGGTCGGACTCTTCTATTGGTGGAGACCGGCAGCAGTGGGGCGAGTTTCGAATTCGCACCGGAACAAAGTCTAAGCTATTTGCCCCGTAAATTCATTTAAGCTCTATCAAGCATTATCTGACGCGGCTTTCTAGAATCTTCGTCGCAATGCGGCCTGTACTGTTACCTTTGGGATGTTTAAGGATGAAGGATGTAAGGTAAAATCTTCGCCGCTGATTCATGTGGAACTAATTCTTTCCATTCAGAGTAGCAGTGGCTCATACAATGTCTTGCGGTGGTCAGCCAATGTGCAAGACATGTTCTCATCCTTTCAGACGAATCTGGTACCAATTTACCGTCCCCGGAAGGTAGACGGCTTGGTGGGCGGAAGGGGATGGGCTTTGAGGGAGGACGGGCGAGAGAATCGCCTATTTCGCCGCACCGCCGCGCGCGACGCTGGGTGCGGTTCTCTTAAGTCGTGTAACCAGGCGGTTGGAACAGAACTTCATGTAGACTCCGTCATCGTAGACATTCATGACTATTTTCGGCTCTGTATTGCCTGTTGTCGCCATCTACTACCTGGAACCATCGTCTATTTGCGGACGCACTCGCGCAGACGTCCACTCAGCGCGGCTAAGCACGATTTCTCTTGCCACAGACCCGGGATTTGAAGCCTTGAACGCGCGAGTGGTAAGCGTGCCAGTTGCCGTTGCACCAGCTTCGCGCCTGTTGAAGGATAGCGGAAAGAATTTACCACGCTACCTTTTGGTAGAATCAGCAGTTCTCTTCATTTACTTTATTAACTTACTTATTCTTCCAGCGATATGGACAAAACAGATTTTTTTCAAGCCGCATATGGACAAAACAGATTATCAGCGACAGCTTTGGACCCGGCCGCTATGTCAGACGAGTATCTCTAAGAGCTAGTGATATACCGACATTCTTACAAAGAAAAATTATTGAAAATGAAAATTAATTGACTTATGTTTGAGAAATCGACACGAATGACGATAAAAACCCCGGGTCGTATTCACCATCATTCCATTATAACATTCATATCAAAATGTGGTTCTTATTACGGTGTACATTATCGATTTCATTACCTCTTTTTGATCTTATAGAACGTATTGTAAATGGCGTTTTGTGCAACCTGCTATGTGATAAAGCTTTCTTTCTGGCCTGCTGGACAAATGATCACATTAAAGACAGCTCCCGCGATAAAAGTGTCATGGATAGTTGCTTTTCAATTATGAAACAGTAGCTGATAAGTAATTCCCCAAGTAAGAAAAAAAGCAAGAAGAGTCCTCGAGAACACTCTGAACAAAATCGCTCCCATTACAGTCACACCGCCCTGCGGTCTCTGTGCAACCCCTGACTCATAGATCGCTTTTTCGCATCTCTCACTACTTGATATCATTCAGTGCAAAGAAAAGAATACGAAAAACAGCAAAAACATGGAAGAGAAACTCTTGAAAAGGAAAAGAAACTTTAGAAACTCGGCGGATCAAAGTTAGGGTTACGGTAGCGTGCATCTTTTAGTGTGGAGTATTGCATCAAGCTTTTGCCAACCGCGAAAATTGGTCCGCTCGTATTTTTATCGCCTTCTACCTTGCGAGGATGGCTTTAGGAGTTACTGCTATGCCGCTCCAATGACTAAACTGTAATAAAGGAGAGCAGAATTATCCATGGGCACGAGCGCGGTCAGCAATAGGGACATGCAATCCCGATTAATGCCCGCCGTCCTAAGCAAAGAACAACTAAGTGGCCTTCGGTCGGAGGGCATCTTGGCAATGTGGTGCTTCCAAGATGGGCAGGCCCTGTTAAAACTATGGACTTTCAGTGGCCTGGTACGCTCGCTCCTCGCTTGCTGTGGCAGTTGATAGAGTTGGGAAGCGTCTCTAGCTTGCGGGATGTACCTACTTGCACAAGAAAGGCTGTCTTTAAGAACAGACTGTACTCACCCCCGTGGATCCTGATCCCTGCCGTGTGTGAGAAGAATGGGTCCGCAGCTGCAGTAGCGTGTTGCTTTCTCTGGTCAAAAGTGCACGCGAGTGGGGCCCTGAGGGCACGGGCAGAGCAAGGCACGCTATCGTTGTGGAAATCACAGCGGGTAGTATTTGATCGCGAAGTAGGGCTCATTCAGAAAAGGGACGGTCAGTGATACTCAGATATCCTACGGCCCTTGGATGTTAACAGAGCTTTCATGGCTCTCGTTGTGATGAACACCTAAAGAGACACCTGAAGACAGATGCAGTCGCAATCTCAGAAGTGAGGAAAACCTGCGGCAAGAAGTGCCGTAGCCGCCCACGACCACGTCATGGTTTAATAGACAAACGAAACACAGTTTACGCTCGGAGTTTTCTGAACCGTAGGCTTGCACGGACGAAACCCTCTCTGGAAGTTACACCTTTCCAGCACCTCAACAAGGGACTCGTGTGCATGGCGCATTGCAGAGGTAAGCAAACCGACGCCGAGTGAACTGTCTGCTGACAATTTTGACGAAAAGATATGTCTAGAAGCTGTCCGAAGTCTTCAAAAGTAGTGGAAATGGCACTGCGCCGGGGTGCGATTTTTCGTGTTGCTCGAGCTGTCACAACGAAAACGCGATTTTTTTTGCCGAAACATCAAGCCTTGAGATAAATGATATGCTTTTCAGAATGAGGAAGTCTCCTGGATTCCTCCACTGTTTCTGGATTACAACGGGTCACATTTGAAGAAAGTTATGGCTGTTCAAAGAATGAAAACTCGCAGGTGCACACTAGGATTCAACAGAGGTGTCACAACGGGGAAAGTTCTGGGAAACGGAGGTGTTTGAGTGCGCTCGAGAACCTGCTTTCCTCTCTTCAGGACTTCCACTTTCAGAGCCTCATTCATGAGCTCACACTCCAAACAAATAGATGGACTTTTAAAAAACAGTACTTTAGGAGTTCAGGGACTATTTTGAAGAGACACCTCGAAATATTAGCTTGTCCGGAAAGTTCTCAGCGTTTTGAGTGTTTCACTTCAAACGATCATAACTTTCTTAATACTCATCGGATTCAATCGAAATAAGCACCGTTCGAATCAGCACACTTTTCTCAACGTTCGACAAATCCCATTGAAAAGAAAAACTGGGTGGTCGAGAATCCACGAAATCTAGAACGGTCTTTTTTGCCTGGTCCTAACTGATGAAGTATTTTCCAGCAAGGGAGTTCTGAAATGTTTGGCAAGGTATAGTTTGTTGGTGAAGTCTGGAGAAATATGGCAGGGTGAGGTAGAACTCCAACCAAATTCGATTTTCATTTTGGAATAGTGATTTTGTGAAACGTGAGGGGGCGGGCGTTTGTCATGGCAAAAGATACGAACCCTTCTGCTGAAAGTGCTGGGCTCGCTTTTTTGGTAGACTTGCGTCGATTTCCATTCCAAGTCAAAAAAAGGGGCGGTTCTGCTGTGATGGTTTGGCCTGGTGATAAAAAGTTATAGTGGATCACACCAGCCGATGACCACCAAACCGTGACCAGAATTTTTTTCGTGAGGGTTCGGCTTTGAAAATTACCTCGGTGGTTCGTCGAAATCCAACCACTGTCCGGAACGTCTCCTGTTATCATACATGACCATCAGGTGACAATTCGTCCAAAAACGGGTCGTTTCTTTGCGCAAAAGCAGTGAAGAAGAAACTCGAGACGTGCCAATTTCTGCCGGTCACTCAAATTGTGGGGCACCCACTTGTCGAGTTTTTCCACCTTTCCAATGCATTTCAGACCATCCGCAACAGTGAATTTGCCAACGCCTAGCCTTTCTGCAATCACTCTCGAACTGTGTGGGATGGGTCAAGCGCTCAAACATGTTCAAAATCCCGTCAGCATATTGCCTTTTTAGTGTCTACCGCTACGAGGTTTCATTTTCAAGGCCAAAATTTCCAGAAAGAAATTTGTCGAACCATTGTCGCACGGTGCTTTCTCCAACACTAGTTGGGCCCCACACCTGGTTGATTTGTCGAGCTGTCTCGACTGCGGATTGACCCAATAGTTCAGTTGAAGAAGAAATATGTGTCGCAAGCTGGTCTTTTGACATTGCTCAAAAAGTCTGGAAAAAGGGGTTTTCGTCAAGCAAATGGGTGAACGGCAATTATACCATCAGATAGCGCAAAAAATTCTCTTCAGGATGTACTACTGAGACGCAAGGGAGAATGAGTTTTAATCAGCAATGAATGTACAAAAAATAGTAACACAAAACGCTGAGAACTTTCCGGACAACCTAATAGCTTGCTCCTGTACCACGGCAGAAAACGTGCTATAGGCCAGACTCAGAATGTGCACGAACTTCTACATTCCAAGTATTCAATTCGATTCGTTAGGAGACTCACTTTCGAGAGCGTGTGGGGCGGGGGGGGGCTAATTAGCAGAGATTGTACACAACGCGATGGCTTGCCGTGTACCCGCGTGCCGTCTCCATACTCCGGCCGTGCTGTCGACGACAGTAGCCTACGCCTAAATTGTCCAAAGCGTCACTTATCTGCGCTCTCTCACTTCTGCCTGTTCTCTACCTCTGACTGCGTGCTCTATGCCGGATTTTGGTATTGACGCAAGTGCTGCACCGTGGATAGGTCCGCGGAGTATGGGGACGTCACTCGGGTATCACTACCCTGCAATTCCGTTCGCGTACTGTTTTGACCAGAAAAAGTGGTGCACTACTGCAGCTGTGACTCACTCATCTTGTAAAGGGAAAAGAGCTGTGTTCGGAAATGAATGTACACGTTGCAAGCCGACATACTAGGAAATACGGTTTGAGCGCGAGGCTATATTTGGTATGCACAGGAAGACCGGTTTTGCCTAAGGTTGGGCTAAAGAACCTGTTCCATCAGTCAACATCTTCACGCGATTTACTGGTCTACTGAACATGCTGACCATGTCAGGCTCTGACTGAAGGAAGGAAGAAGCCAAAACGTCTGGTATAACACACAATTTACATTTCAGTTCGCTGCGGACGGTTGGGCGTGTCAGGCAGAATGAGTATGCGCACCTTCAAAGCTGTTCTCTGCCTTCTTCTTCTTGAAGCGCGCATGAGACAAGAAGTGGTAGAAAACGAGTAATAACGAACGATATTTATATAGTCATCATATTGCTCTCAGTTCAGAATGGTGAGAAGGTCGACCAGGCCGCCAAAACTCATACCCGCCTGACGAACGCTCAACCAGTCGCAGCGACAAACACGTATATCAACGCACACAACTAGTCGTAATCAGCCAATATCCGTGCAGCTTCCACACTGGCTCTTTCGCTCCGCTCACAATAATTCACCACATTCGATCACCATTGGAAGAGCAAGGCAGCGCCCATCCGCGCTGCTCCTGAAGTGTAGGGTTTCGTATGATCTTCACCCGAGGTTCACAAAGAGGTCCCGCGGAGAAGAGCATGATCGGCAGGTTGCCTTTCTCGGCCATGTGCAGAGAACAACACGATCAAAGCCTCCCTCAAAAAAAAGAAAGAGGCGTGAACAAGAAGGGCTATGGGCTAGACTAGGTATATAGCTGGTACTGTGCCGTGTCATGCACTGCGTGCTTCACGTGCGGGTGGAGTAACACATGGCATTCAGCTACCACTACTCTCCTTTTCAGACGTGAAAGTTTGAATCTGTGAGGATCAGAATATAATGTAGAGGGGAGAGCGCAGAGAAAAACAGAAGTCGGCGCGATTGAAGGAATTGAGTTCGAATTGTCCGCAGACCGCCTCTTCTCCCCCTACTTTCGTGTGAAGAATAGGCTCTCTTCTACGCCTGCGTTATCAGGCCGGTTTACCACCCGCGGAGGTGAGTCTACATCGTATCTTCAAGCCACTTGAATATTCTGGTCATGTTGTACTGTGGTCTGACGCTACCTACATATTTCCTCACGATTTCTCTTGGTCAAAAGTATTTATTCCTTCTATGATCCTTAGGCTAGGCAGCAGTGACAGCTCTAACCAGCGCCATAGTGACAATTTTGAAAAAAAATTCTGGTTGTTGAGCAACAAGTTTCTTGTTACTTGTTACAGTACTTCGTTCACAGGGGAGAAGGGGTACTGGCAACAGGGCACGCCATCGTTGTGATGATCACAACGGGGGAGGGCGACTTGACGCAAAGAAAAAATTTTGATAGTTGGTTACTATTTTTTCACGGATGCTATAAAGGGGGGGGGGGATCGTTTGTGGTCGTTGTTGGGAGAGGGACTACTATTTCCGACAATTGAAAATGATGGTTAAATCCTAACGAGTCCTCCCTTACCCCGCTCGACGGAATATTCTTGACTGAAAAACTGGAAATTTTTCGGGAAAAAGATGGAAAAAGTCGTAGGCAGTTGGCAAATCTAGGGAAGTAAGGAAGCATGACGAGGAGCGGGGGGGGGGTCGTACTTGAGGATCGAACTTGGGGAAGGGGTCGTATTTTTCAGGAAATGATCACAACGCGATGGCGAGCCCTGCTTGTGCTTTCCAGTTGGCACCGCTCACCACTCACTCTTCACTGACAAAATCACGCACAGGCTCTCCTAAGCCAACCAATCGTCCCATCCCTCTGGAGTCGCCTAGCTCGTCCCATCCCTCTGGAGTTGCCTAGCTGGGGTCAAGCTTGTGCTGAAGCATACATTCAGTGTATGGCATAGCAATCTAAACAGAATAAACATAAATTCAGTGTTTCAATATCGGATGAGCTTCACACGTCGAACTGTGGGTCAAGCCGTACCTTGAATGACACCACGATACGATTGGAAGTGGAATTCATGGCGTATACTAGAAAGAGAGTAATAATCACCGAATGCTTCATTCTTCCGTTTTGTTCCAAAAAAAGCCATTCTTGCGCATTTCATTTGCACTGGAGAACGCAAGAAAAGAATCGCGGTTCTATCATTCTCGCGTATGCATGTAGAATCGAAATTTTCTAGCGACACTTCGAATTTGGCACCCGCAAACTAGTCAAAGTGAAAAGAGGCCTTATTGTGGTCGGGGCACGTCGTACGTTAGGGATCCTCAGTGAGGACGGGGTTGTATTCTGTCGCGGGAGGGAGGCGAAGGAGTTCGTACTTGCCCCTGAGGAGAATGTTTTCGGGTTGTTGACATTCCCCAGTTTTTCCTGTTTCAAATGCGTTGCCACCCAACCTGAAGGAATTTCTTGATAGAAGGAACTCCAGAATGAGTGCGGTAGAAACTTGGCGACTTGAGGAAATTCAGGAAGACGTTAGCTAGGATGGGGAAGGTGCGGAGGAGTCGTATCTGCGGAAGGAATTCCGAGGAGAGACGCGTTTTGTACAAATTTCTTCAATGGTAGCAGGTCCACTGATTGTGTTCCACGGTATGACAAATTGCTTTTAAAGGGTCATACATATAAACAAGAAGGGTTTATGCAGGAACAGTAACGATTTCAGCATTTTCCTAGGGTTTTGCAGGCCATCCGATCCATTATAGGCTACTCAAGCGCCAGCCATTCCCCTACCTCGTAATGATAGGGCGTGTCAGTGAGAGGCGATTTAGCGTCGCCAGCTCGCTCTCCTTCTTCAAGCGGATAAGCGGCAACAGTTGGTGAAAAAACGACTGATATGAAATGATGGTCTTCTCGCTTACTGGGAAAAAGTAAATAAGTGGTCGACGTCGCGTCAAATCCAATCCTCTTGACACGCCCCGTTGTCCGCAGCGAACAAGACTGTATATGGCCAATGCGACCCCGATTTTCCTTCTCTTTTTGCCTTACAAGACAGAACATTTCAATAAATGTTTATTACCGATTTATATAAGCAATCACCGACAGCAAAGCAAGTATATGAGCCGGGTTTGGAGTACTCCACGGGATGTTTCATTAAAGGTGTTAACGACGTGATATAAGGAATTAGTGTGACCTTACTCACTTCAAAAAAATGGAGCCATATATGACAAAAAGAGCTTTCTATCAACAATTCGCTATAAGAGCGCATTTTTGTTGACGAAAATTCACGAAAGAACGAAGACATGAGTAAATGAAATGAGGCAAGGTGCAAGTGACTTCCATGTAATTCGTCGATCGATCGATCAATCCATCAAAATGATCAGTTGGATCAATTGCATCTTACGGTAATACAGCAGCAAGAGTAAACACCAATAAACAAGTAATGTAATACGAATTATACAAGTCGCATTGACTGACGCCGGCGTTTTGAACATGGAAGAAACACTCAAAAAAAACACAGGTAGCACGACATAAGCTGAGAGTAATATAATATACAAAAGCCGCAAAAATCCTGAGTTAGAGGTAGCGATAAAAAAAGAAAGAAAATTTGGAAAAAATGGTCCGAAGACCTGCCTGAATCGTGAACGATTTGGGTCCGTAGACCTCCCTGAAGTAGAGAAAATTCCTGATGAAAAAGTCCTGAGTGGGATGAAATAATCACGTAAAAGAGAATCCTGAGTGGGAAATTCCTGAGAAGAAGAGTAACAAGTAAATAAGCAAAGAAGAAAACAATATTGCAAGAAACATACAAAATAAACAAAATAAAAAAACGAACACTGACGACTAAAATCTAGAAATGCTCTGAGTAAATAAATCTTTTGCTCTAGGAAGAAATGAAAAACAATTTTTTCAGGTCACCGAGGATGCGAATCAACACGGGGATAGTGTGAACGGCCGGGAATATAAACAACCATAAGAAGCGAGGGTTCTGGGCTTGACGAGGCAGGCAACAATAGGTGAAGCAACGCTGAATACGAGGAGGCAGACGGAACGATGTCTATCGAGACAGATTCAGGTGTGAGGCAAAATATGGGCGCAGATGAGGATGGTGAGGGCGGCATTGAGCGACAATAAGCAGGCCACAAATCGCCCATCAAGGCGACGCAGCGTCATCAAAGCGTAACTCGCGCTGCAATAGCGATTCGGTGTTTTTGTGCAATTGCAGAAGTGACCACGCTGATGACATCTCTGCTAAGGTGGCTGGTAGCGTCTAAATGATCTCAATCAGTACTGATGAAAACAAAAAAAAAATACAGCTGATATCGCAACAATCAGTCGGGGCGGTTTCAAGGGCAGACCACCGTCCTGCGCATTGAATTGTGTGGCGATGCGCGGCAAATCTCGATGTGAATTAATTTGCTGATTGGAGCATAGAATTCCTGTGGACTGAAACGGGCGGGAGACGGACAAAACAAACCCAATTTGCCGTGTCGCCGCCAAGTGCGGCGATTTCTCTATGTAAATCAGTTTGTGGAGCAGCAGACATCAGGTGAATTGATGCGAGGGCAAGACTCCATGATGGTGACAACAATCTACCCCTTCCCTTTGACACCCGTATTCAAACGGTCAGGCAAGACAACTCGTCTCACGGGTGCGCGTCGCCCGCTACGCCCACTTGCGCGGCATATTACGATTGTCTTGTCACATAAACAGTTCCAACAGAACGAAATGAGCACACAGTGTTTTACCACAGTTGTTTTCTTCCTGATTTAGCACAAACAGATTACTATTGGTAGAGCACGGCAGCCGGAGGCGCGCTCACTCCGCCCCTGCTGGCACCACCAAGACTGATTGCGGCGTTACTAACTATACAACAGAAGAGGACCCTTACCTGATTCGAGAGCGTAGCTTTAGCTAACGCATGCAGACCACTTTGAAGTGTTTCAGCCAACTTCGAGTCGTTCATGTCAGCGTTGATCTTTCGTTCTGTGCAAATCGGGATGGTTTGAACAGAATGGGTGGGTTTTTCTACAGGTAGACTGAGGCTTTGAAGGGTTTGCGCTACACTGCCTTCAGGCCATCCCGCTGATCGCTCACTGGCCAACATAACACCTTCTTCACGTGAGCTCTTCGTCTTCTTTGCATGGCGTACACGACGACATCGTGCAGCCAGTTTACGCATCGAATCACGAAGGCTCTCCCAAAAATCGTCATCACTCGAGAATCGATCACCGAGGACTTTTCGACATACATCTGAAATCAGCACCGAATAAACTGCAACATGGAAACTGATGTTTTCAAAAAATACACTAGGGTACGACTAAAAATATTTAAGTACAGAAAAAAATACATCATGCCGTTTGCCCAGGGTTCCGCTTCAATTGGTTTACCCGGATTATCAGTAAGCCCAGTATTTATGTCGAGCTAGCGTTCTGGAGTAAGGGCCATGACCTCGTGGCGGACCATACCACCTTCTCAAGTGGGAGCATAACCTTTTCAAGTAGTCGTCTTGTGATTTCAGCTTTCCCCTGTGCAGTTCTTTTTATATTCCATCACTCAGCCTAGCTTCCTATTAGCCTATGGATGTTTGATTATCTCTAAGCACACCTCTGATTGTACTGGATAAATAAATGAATAGATAAGTAAATAAATAAATGAATAAGTCATAATTTATTGCCAAAAGGAATGGGATGTCATTAACTAGTTATCGACAATCAAAGATAGTATCGAAGCTCTTCTACCAGTAAACAAGTATTTAGCAAAACTCACGTTGTATGTACATGATTCCTTCAATCGGTAGATTCGGGAATGTCGAATGATTGAGACCAGCGACGGTCGTTTCGGCCATCAATTTTGATCCGAACACCCGTTTTTCAGCTAATTTTTTG